CTGAGTTCACCGTTGGGGATGCCACTCGCCGGCGTTAAGTAGGAGCGCACTCGCCTCGTACGTTCAGTGTGTGCCCGGACGCAGACGGGAGAACACGGGCAGTCGTAGCTGTTGCATAGGTAAGACCTCTGCCGACACACGCGTGTATGTGCGCATCGTAGGGGAATATCTGTACCTAACTGGGTTTTCTGAAATGTATGCATAGGTATATGTGTGTGTATCTATGTGTATATATATATATAATATATATATATATATATATATATATATATATATATATATAATTAAAGTACATGCATGTACACAAATCAACAGAAAGGAATAGAAAAACAACTTTGCCGTTGTTTCAAAACATGAAATAAGTCATCATGTGTTTTCCTAATCTGCTTCCGTTGCAATGTCCATCAACTCACATGCATACACATACACGCAAAAAGTGAACACATACACACACATACATACATCTTACCTGACCTATCCTAACCTAAGCCTCATTTCATAATGTATCGTTCGTGTACTAATTCGATGGAAATTAAGCTCAATTAGTTACATCCTGAGTGAATGTTCTATACAGATGTCACCGGCCTTTTCTCTGTCTATTTTGTTGTCTATTTGTATGTATGTCCATACACATACAAATACATACATACATGCAAACATAGATTGATACATAGAGGCAGACAGACAGACATACAAACATACATACATGCATACATATGTACATACATATATATATATTATATATATATATATATATATATATATATATATATATATATATATATATATATATATATATATATACGTACATACATAGATGTATGTATGGATCACCCTACATAAGTCTTTGCATTTAGACGTTTAAGAAAGGACTTCATTTCCAATATCCACAATCACATTTTTGTATAATGAGGAATCGCAGTTTTTCGCACACACACACACACACACACACACACACACACACACACACACACACACACACACACACACACACACACACACACACACACACACACACACACACACACACACACGCAAATAGCCCCTCCCCCCACACACACAAATCCCCTTCACACACACACACAAACAGATCCTCCCCACCCCCACCCCCCACACACATATACGTATATACTTATCTTACTTTCTATTCATTTCCGCTTGTCTTCTTCCCCAGGATTACCCCGCCATGGCCTCTGCACATGCGAGTCCCTGTCGAGGACTCTTTGTCGCGGTCCTCCTAGCTTCCGTGTTTACGTGCGGGACGGACGCTAAAGACACCAGAGCAGCTACGTACGGTAAGGGGATGCTTGTTGGTACTTTGTGGAATTCATGTCGAACAAATTGCAACAGGAACAACGAAGGGAAGAACAAGGAGGCATGTTCGTGTGTTTTCTTGTTCTTCCATTCGTTGTTCCTGTTGCTGGTACTTTTACGAACGGGATAAAAACAGGAAAAGAAGGAAATAAGTAAAAAATACATTGATTTATACACATTTTTAGTTTCTTTGTTCGGTTGGTCAGTTATTTTGTTTGTGTTTATGGGTAATTTGTCTGAACGTAGCACATATTAGGAAGAATGGCTTTCTTATTGGTCTATACTATTGCATGTAATACATATTTACATTATTAGGTATGAGAAAGTAGGCAAACCTGGTTTTTATTTCATTCACGTAATGGACCCTGCTTGTGAATTCTATGAGGCAATACTTTCACTTTAGAAGTTATTTAATAGACGAATTCGTGGAATCATATCAATAGGAATGGTAATAGTGACGATGCTCAGGTTGCCATATAGTGTAATATGATACAAAATGTTGAAGAAGCTTCTAAAACATATCTGGCCTTTACCTTTGATGATATGATGGAAGGGCGAATATATTATTATACTTGATATATTTATTGCTTTGAAGTAATGATAAAAGAATACAAATGCTCCATCCTTTAGCTTTAAACATAGATATATAGATAGACAGACAGACAGATAGATAGACAGATAGATTGATTGACTGATTGATTGATAGATTAGATAGATAGATAGATGTAAAATACGTATAAGTATAAACATATCTCTACAGGAATTACTATAGATTTAAGAAAAGAAAGATTATCAAAAGTATGGTACTAAAAAAATCATCACTGTTATATCGTAAAGAATAAACATGGATTTTTGAGACTGACCATTCCTGACTCTCCAAACTCAGCTGCCCGAATATGCGTGGGTCCTGACGTGGACTGCGATAACCTGCGCAGGACTTCCTTGGGAGTCCTATCCTGCACGCAGGCTAGGGACAGGTATGTATCTTTTGTGTGATCGCACACGCATACTCACGCGCACGCGCGCGCGCGCGCACACACACACACACACACACACACACACACACACCACACACACACACACACACACACACACACACACACACACACACACACACACACACTCACACACACACACACACTCATACATACACACTATTTACGTATTTATGCATATAATTATTAAATATATTCGTTTCATTCATTCAAATTTCTTTCCTGTAAGAATTTCCTAATTTCCTTCCTGTTTCTCCATTAGACTTGACTGCCTGAAGAAAATGCGCGACGGAGAGGCTGAGTTCGGCTACTTTGAGGCCGAGGACGTGAACCTGGCCGCCCTGTCGTTCAGCGGGAGGTTCGAGGCCGTCGTCAAGCTTTGTAAGTTCTCGTTTTACTGTTTTTGTTATTTTTTTATTATTTTATTATTTTATTTTTTATTTTTTTTTTTTTTTTTTTTTTTTGGATTTGACGTTTTTTTTTTCGTCTCTTCCCGTTCTGGAAATAAGGTACGTGTAAGATATATAAATATTATATATCCGTTTGCTTTGGTGATTATATCATTATTTCTGCTCTCTTGAATGTTGTTGCTTTATCATTCTTTCTTTCGTCTTTGTCATTTTATTTTTTTTCCATGTTGATTCATCCTTTTTTCTATTTCTTCCTCTTCCCTCTACTTCTTCCTTGCTCTCTCATCTCTTATTTTTTCTTTTCTTTTCCTCTCTCTCCCTCCCCCACCCATTTTGATTTACTCACCCCCCCCCCCATTTTGATTTACTCATTTTCTCCCCAATTGTATTTACTCATTTTTTCCTCATTTTGATTTACTCAACTCCCCCTCCCCCATTTTATTTACTCATTTTTTCCTCATTTTGATTTACTCAACTCCCCTCCCCCATTTTATTTACTCATTTTTACTCATTTTGAATTACTCATTTTTCTTTTCCTTTCCTCGTCCTCCCAGCTCTTCCGGAGAACGAAGTGAGGCGCGTGTTCATGCTGGTTCACAACGCTTCGAACCCCAACCCGAGGAGCCTCTGCCACCCGGGGTTCAATCTCCAGAGGTTCTTCCCCCGCCCTCTACCGCCCCCTACCCCGCCACCAAGGATATGCTGCTCGATGTTCAGGTATTTAGAGAATGTTTTGTTGTTGTGTGTTGTTGTTGTTGTTGTTGTTAAGGTTTTTGTTGTTGTTGTTGTGAAAGTTTTCTTGTTGTTGTGAAAGTTTTCTTGTTGTGGTTGTGAAAGTTTTTGTTGTTGTTGTGATAGTTTTCTTGCTGTTAAAGTTTTTGTTGTTAAAGTTTTTGTTGAAGTTTTGTTGTTGTTGTTGTTGTTTAGATTTTTTTTTTTGTCTCGCGTGGAGATAGATGAGTATGCAGATAGATAGGTTTGTGATACCATTCGGAGTTTTTTTCTTTATTTTGAGGGGGTTGTACTTCTAAGTGAGAATATGTATGTTTTAAATTATGAAAAATCGATTGAATACCTGAATATATGAATACTAACATCCACCAATGAAAGAAATTGCTATAGATGAATAGATTGATAGATAGATAAAAAGATAGATATAAATAGATAGATAGATATAGATATATATAGTAACATCCACATAGTCTAAACATTAAGTATCATCCACATAGTATAAGCATCACCAATATATAATCCTCCGCAACATACACAAAAAACAAACATTTATCACCCCCACATCCACAACAAACACTTGGATCGTCTTTGAATCCAAATATCCACTTTCTAACACCTCGCCTCTCCCCTCTTTATCCATCCCTAACAGAGTCACATTGAGATGTTAGCGAAGAAGTGGACCAGCGCCTGTATTCCGGGGATGTGGTCTCAGGATCCCACGACAGATCGACAGCTGAGTGAGTTTATTTTCGTTTGTTTTCTTTGTGTTTCGTTTTGTTTTCGTAAGGTCTGGAATTTTGTGTGCGTCGTGTTTGCTTCATGTCTCTTTCTCTGTTTCTTATTAATGTTCATAATCTCACTTCTCTCGATTTCTTGCTCTAGGATTTTCTCTATTTTTTCTTTTTTTTTTACTCTGTTTCTCTCTCTCTCTCTCTCTCTCTCTCTCTCTCTCTCTCTCTCTCTCTCTCTCTCTCTCTCTCCTCTCTCTCTCTCTCTCTCTCTCTCTCCCTCTCCCTCCTCTCCCTCTCCTCTCTCCCCTCCCTCCCTCCCTCTCCCTCCCTCTCTCCCTCCTCTCTCCCTCCCTCCTCTTCCTTCCTCCTCCTTCCTTCCTTCCTTCCTTCCCCTTCCTTTCATTCTTCCTCCTGCTTCCCTCCTTCCTTTCTCCCTCCTACCTCTCTACCTCTCCTTCTCTCTCCTCTTCCTCTCCCGCTTCTCTCTTTTTTCCCTCTCCCCCTCTCTTCTTTTCCCTCTCATCCTCCCTCCTTTTCCCTCTCCTGTTTCCACCTTTTCCCTCGCACTCTCCCTCCTTTACCCTCTCACCCTCACCTCCTTTACCCTCTCCCCCACCCTCCTTTTCCTTCTTTCTCTCATATATACTAATGATGATTAAAACGTCAATACAATGATGGTTAAAATAATGACGATTAAAATGTCAATCCAATAGATATCTAAACTTCAACCCTCTCGCTTTGTCTCCTTCCTTCCCCAGATTCCGACTTTCACTAATCTTCTCCCCCTTATTTTCTCTCCGAAGAGCGGCTTTATAGTCACCTGTGCAGCGCGTGTCCCGGCCAGAACTGCGACGGAGCGGACACCTACGCAGGGTCGGGTGCTCTGACGTGTCTGTTCGATCGTGTGGCGGACGCGGCCGTGGTCTCCGACGTCGACTTCCGTAGGGCGAGGGACGTGGTAAGGAGAAGGGGGAGAGTGGGAGGTTGAGACGGAGAGATAGGTCGATGGGTTGATGGGTAGGGAGGGAGGATAGCGAGAAAGGTTGAAAGAAGGGAAGGGGGAAAGAGAAAAATGATGAAAGATTGAAAGATTGGTTGATAGATAGGTAGCAGTTGAGAAAGAAAAGAGAGAGGGGGGGGAGATTGACAGATATAGATATGGTTAGTTAAATGTAACAGACTGACCACATATAAGGTACCTATATATACATGAACGTTCCTCAAACCTATAAAAAGCAGTCTCATCATGAAAGACACGTCCCTCGCAGAATCCCCAGGTGAAGGACCTATACCACTTCTGCCGCGTCGGGAATGGTAGCGTGCAGCCCCTGGGTCCAACCACCGTCGACGATAGGGAGCCCTGCGACTGGGGTCAGCGCCCTCCTTCAGTCCTGCTCACCCCTCCGTGCCAAAAGGATTCCTGCCAGTGAGTTTCGAGTCTGGGTCCTTTTCAATATCTTGCAAAAAAGCGAAATAGAAAGGGAGACAGATTAAGGATTTCTTCTTGTATTTCTTTTTCTTTGGTTGAAGTAAAAAGAAAGATAAGCGCTTGAGAAAAGGGAGAGATAAAGTGTCATTTCGTATTTCCTTTTTTTCTCCTTTTCAGAACCTTGCGAGATCAGTGGATCAGCGGCATCATTGGCCATTCGGAAAGTGTGGCCGAGATCCTTGGCCTTCCTGCGTCCACCAAGTTCGAGGCCATGGACACCGCGCTCTCTCCAGCGAGGATGATTAAGAACGGTAACTTTGGCTGGACTTTTATATGCTCATATGCTCGCAACTCCACATACAAGCATCCTTTGTCCCATCTAACAGTTAGTCAGGGTAAAGACGCCCTTCTGAAAACACTAAGCGAGCCACGACGTCCATAATCAGGAGACTAACACCCCCACCCCCTCCCTTCCCTCTCTCAGCCGGCTACAAACTGGACCACAGCCTGATCAAGAACCCCGTCCGATTCTGCGTGACGAACGAGGCCGAGCTGGCCAAGTGCCGCGACCTGCAGATGGCGGCGCAGGCGTACGGCGTCGGAGCCAACGTCGGGGTCGACTGCGTCCTGGACACCAACGAATCGCACTGCTACCCGGACATCTACCTCGGGAGAGCTGATGTCATCGCCCTGGACGGGGGAGATGTCTACCAAGTCAGGCAGTGAGTCTCAGCGTCGTGTACATGTGTGTGTGTTTGTGTGCGTTACTTATCTGTCTGGTTGTCAGTCGCCGCTTGCTTTTTGAATGTTGCCTCACTTCCACAGAGATTACGGGTTCGACCGCCTTCTGAGTGAAGTCTACAACAGCGGTTCGGACAGCACGACGTCGTCCTACTACGCCGTGGCCGTGGTGAGGGCAGAATCCAACATCACTTACTTCTCTCAACTCAGAGGTCGGAAGTCATGCCACACAGGAATCGGGAAGACTTCAGGTAGGAAATGACATCAGCATAAAGCTATCTCCGTTTCCTGACCTTTTAACCTGAGCGACATGGAAAGGCATAAATCACAAGACCTGTTTCTAATGCTCCCTTTGTCACCCTCCCAGGCTGGAAGATGCCCGTGGCCATGCTTCTGAAGGAGCGGCTCATCGATCCCCGCCACTGCAACTACATCAACGCCGTCGCCGAGTTCTTCACGGGGGGCTCCTGCGCGCCCGGGGCCAAATCCAGCAAGTATAACCCCAACGGCAACTATGTGGAATCGCTCTGCCGCCTCTGCAGGGGGGGCACGGACACCCACTGCGTCAGGGGGACCAGCGAGCCCTTCTACTCGTACTCGGGGGCCTTCAGGTGTCTGGTCCAGGGCGGAGGGGACGTCGCCTTCGTCAAGCACACGACCGTCCCAGACCACACGGGTAAGCGGGGTTCGCCCAACGCAGGATTCATTGCAGAGCCTCTGTATTTGCGAAGTTTCTTCCTTAGAATTTACTGATAAAAGTATTTAAAAAAAACTTTCCCTTTCCAGATGGACACAGTACTGCCTCGTGGACGGTGGGTCTTCGCTCAGACCAGTTCAAGCTCCTGTGTTCGACCGGAGACCGAGCGGCTGTGACCGAATACAAGACCTGCAACCTGGCAATGGTTCCCGCGCACGAGGTCAGCTTTCTCTTCTCTAAACACGCTTTGCATTTTATGGATGACAGAAAATTAGTAGTGTAGTTTTCTTCATTCAAATCCAAACATCAAATATTAATTCTGATGTGTGTATAATGAAGATAATTACGCACACACACGTAAAATAGAGACAGCCAGACAAACAGAGAGAATGAAGGCATAAGGACCGCGTCCCTTCTTCACAGGTCGTCGTCTCTGGGCGAATGCGCGAGCCGAGGAAGGCGCAGGTGCGAGATGTCCTTCTTAGTGTCTCGAAGGCCTTCGGCAGCGACGCCCCCGGGAGCAAGACCTTCAGGTACACCTTCTCCCCGACTACGATGTCTAATAGAATACTATTTCAGTTAATAGCAGTCATTAGAACATTATTATCTTTCTTTATATAGAAGCCGTATTCCCCATATATAATGCTACGTTTGATAAGTAAAATAGTCATCTATTACAGAATGTTATCTATCTATCTATGTATATATAATAAGGAAACCAATTACGGGTAAACCCTGCGATCTTATTATGATAATCATTATTATTACAATCACTATTATTACTCTCATTATCTTCGTTATTCACTTCACACCACCATTTGCACAGTGTGTACTCAAGCACTCAAGCCAATTTTGCCATTCTTTCCACTACAGTTTGTTTGGCAAGTATCAAGGAAAGCCTGATCTGCTGTTCAAGGATTCGGCTGTTGGTTTAAAGGCCCTGACTGAGGACACGACGGAGGAAAGGAGGAATAAGGAGGATTACTTTAAAAAGCTCGATGAATTGCATTCTTGTGAAAGTAGGTGGTTGTCTGTTCTTTCTTTGTTTCCGCTCTCTCTCTCTCTCTCTCTCTCTCTCTCTCTCTCTCTCTCTCTCTCTCTCTCTCTCTCTCTCTCTCTTCTCTCTCTCTCTCTCTCTCTTCTCTTCTCTCTCTCTCTCTCCTCTCTCTCTCTCTCTCTCTCTCTCTCTCTCTCTTCTCTCTCTCCTTCTTTCTCTCTCTCTTCTCTCTTCTCTCTCTCCTCCTCTTTCTCTCTCTCTCTCTCTCTCTCTTTTCTCTCTCTCTCTCCTCTCTCTCTCTCTCTCTCTTCTCTCTCTCTCTCTCTCTCTCTCTCTCCTCTCTCCTCTTTCTCTCTCTCTCTCCCTCTCTCTCCTCCTTCCTCTCCTCTCCCTCTCTCTCTCCTCTCTCTCTCTCCTCTCTCTCCTCTTCTCTCTTCTCCTCTTCTCTCTCTTCTCTCTCTTTCCATTTTCCACTTCGTCTGTTCATCTCTTCAACACTATTTCATTGCCCTCATCATCCCGCCCCCTTCTCCCTTTGCCTCTGTCTCTGTCTCTTTCTTTCTCTCTCTGATAATAATGAAAATGATAATAATGATAAAGATAATAATAATCATAACAATAGCATACTAATAAGTAGAACAACAGCAATTACAAGGCTCTCTCCCCCACAGTCCGCGTGTGTGCTCTGGAAGACGAGATGGAGGACTGCGAAGCTATGGTCGCTGACATGTGGGCAGAAGGGTATCGCTTCGTCTGCGCCAGTGCAAGGGACAGGTACGTGGTAGTGTGGTATTGGGGTGGTGTGGTAGTGTGCTTGGGAGGAGGTATAGTAGTTCTGTAGGGTGTGTGTGTGTGTAAAGATGGTTGTATGGTAATGTTGTACCACGCTTTCCAAAGAGAGAGAGAGAGAAGGGGCGGGGGGAGAGAAAGAGAGAGAGAAGGGGAGGGGAAGAAGGAGGAGAGAGAGAGAGAGAGAGAGAGAGAGAGAGAGAGAGAGAGAGAGAGAGAGAGAGAGAGAGAGAGAGAGAGAGAGAGAGAGAGAGAGGAAAGCCACAAAGCTAAAAGCAAACGCAGACACTCAGAAACAAAAACAAAACAAAATCAAATAAAAGAGAACGAGCTCGAGAAAGATACTTATGCCGCCCATCCGCCCACAGACTGGACTGCATGAGGCGAGTGAAGCTGGGCCAAGTGGACATGTCCCCTCTCACTGGCCGCTACCTCGGGCTGGACAACTTCAGGGTGTTCGCAGTTATGAGGGATCCGGCCTTCGCTGCAGGTGGGTGTTGGCGTTGAGTGGTTTTGTAATATTTATGATAATTGCAACAATAATGATCTTTCATTATCATCACTGTCCTTGTTGTTATTGTTATCATCATCATCATCATCATCATCACTTTGTTATCAACATTATTAACATTAACAACACCTCAACGAACAAGGCGGCCCCTTCTCTTCCCCTTTCCCCTCCCCCCAACCACCACCACAAAAAAAAAACTAAAATAAAATAAAATCAACAATAACAAATACCTAAATCCAAATAAACAAAATTATCATAAGTTCGTTTCCCTCCCAAAACACCCAGACGAGTTCCGGTACAAGGCAGTGACTGTGGTGAGACGGTCCCGCGTGGCTAAGATCTCCGACTTGAGGGGCACCAAGTCATGTCATACAGGATATGGCCGAACGACAGGCTGGCGGATTCCCGTGGCGCTGGTGAGGGATGTTTAAAGAGTTGATGGATTCGGAGATGGATAGATACTGATGGATAAGATTTTGGTTCAGCCTTCGCTAAAGTCGATGTAGATTAGATTTCTCTTTTAGGGGTTTTAAAGAAAAGTGAATTTGTTTTTCTTGATGATAGAGAAATATACATTTTTCTCTGATAGTTTTCGAATTCAATTCTCTTTTAGGGGTTTACAAAAATAGGAAATATGTTTTTCTTGTTTTTTCTTTGTAATACAACCATTCGCGTTTTAAAACCGTTCTTCACGCCCACCTTTTTTTTCTTTCAGCTGAAGCGCGAGGGTGTAATTTCCCCCCCATGCGACCCCACCAGTCTGCCTTGAGCACGAATCGCCAGCGTGGCCACGACCTTCAACCGGGCGTGTGTTCCCGGAGACTGGGCCACGTCCGAGAGCTTCGACGCGGCCCTAAGTAAGTTGATTTTTACTTTTTATTTATTTATTTATTTAGGGGTGATTTTTTAGTGTTGGGATTTTCTTTTTTTTTCGTTTTTCTTATATTTCTTCATTCTGTTTTTTTTCATTTTTTTCGTTTTTTCCTCTTCTTTTCTCTTCTTTTCATTTTTTATTCTCATTTTCTTTTTCTTATTCTTCATCTTTGTTCCTTTTGGTTCTTTTCTTTTCTTACTCTTACTCCCTCTCCCCTCTCCCTCTCCCTCTCCCTCTCCCTCTCCCTCTCCCTCTCCTTCACACCTCACTCACCCTCACCCTCACCTCACCCTCACCCTTCCCTCTCCCTCTCCCTCCCTCTCCCTCTCCCTCTCCCTCTCCCTCTCCTCTCCCCTCTCCCTCTCCCTCTCCTCTCCCTCTCCTCTCCCTCTCCCTCTCCCTCCCTCTCCCTCTCCCTCTCCCTCTCTCTCTCTCTCTCTCTCTCTCTCCTCTCCTCTCTCTCTCTCTCCTCTCTCTCTCTTCTCTCTCTCTCTCTCTCTCTCTCTCTCTCTCTCTCTCTCTCTCTCCTCTTCTCCTCTCTCTCTCTCTCTCTCTCTCTCTCTCTCTCTCTCCTCTTTCTCTTTTTTTGCACACACACACACACACAACACACACACACACACACACACACACACACACACACACACACACACACACACACACACACACACACACACACACACACACACACACACACACACACACACACACACACACACACACACACACCACACAACACACACAAACACAAAACCCAATACTAAAACAATCACACACTCATAAAACCAAACCAACATAAAACCATAAAGCATATCATGAAAACCTACACGAAAACCTAACCAAAATAACAGCCAACATAAAAACAAACGAACATGAAACCATAAAACTTAACATGTAAACCAAACTAACATAAAAAAAAAAAAAAAAAAAAAAAAAAAAAAATGCAAAACAATAAAATCTAACATGAAAACTAAACCAAAACAACATAAAGAGAGAATACGAAAACCAACATAAATACCAAACCAACATCAATATGCCCATGGAAAACAACATAGAACCATAAAAAGTCAACTTTCCCCACCAACCTCGACAAAATAAACCCTCACCCACCCTCTCTTCTGCCTTCCCCTTCCAGAGAACAGAATACTCCTCCATGTGCTCCATGTGTAGGAGTAAGAGATGCGACAAGAACGATGAATACGCAGGCTACACGGGGGCCCTGCGTTGCCTGACTGAGGGAGGCGCCGACGTGGCCTTCCTTCGAACGTGATCGTGCTTCCTCGACAATGGCTCTGTTGGTGCAGGACTTTGGGCGCCGGGTTTTGTTGTTGAACGAGTTGCTGATGTGTTTTTCTCTCTTTTTTTTTTCTTTTTTTTTGTCGTATTGATTCTTTCTCATGTTCTTTTCCTCTCTTTTTGTTTATTATTGTTGTTGCTTTCCTCTCTCTCTTTCTCCTCTCTCCGCTTTCTCTCTCTCTCTCTCTCTCCTCTCATCTCTCTCTCTCTTCTCTTCTCTCTCTCTCTCCGCTCTCTCTCTCTCTCTCTCTCTCTCTCTCGTCTCTCTCCCTCTCTCCTCTCTTCCTCTCTCTCTCCTCTCCTCCCCTTCCCCTTCTCCTTGTTCCTTTCTCCTTCTCTCCTTCTCCTTCTCCTTCTCCTTCTCCTTCTCCTTCTCCTCTCCCTCTTTCCCTCTCCCTCTCTCCCTCTTTCCCTCTGCCTCTCCCTCTTTCCCTCTCTCCCTCCCTCCATCCATCCTTCCTTCCTTTGCTCCCTCTCCCTCTCTTTCCCTCCCTTCTCCCTTCCCTCTCCTACCCCACCCACCCACTCTCCCTCCTTCACTCTCATACCCTCCCCCCTTCCCCCCTCTTCCTCTGTACTTCCCTCCCACAACTAACCTGACACCTTTCCTTCCTTTTAACCCAAAGGACTCCCGCGCCTTCAACTCCGAGGACTACGGTCTGCTCTGTCGTGACGATAGAGTGGTGTCCATCTTCTCCTCTGAGGCTGATGAGTGCTTTTGGGCAGCACGACCCTGGGATGCTTACGTACCACTCGGTGGATGCCAGGTGAGTTAACGAGAGAAAGGATGGAACTGACTGACTTACTGAATGAATGAATGAGAGACAGACAGACAGATAGACATGAAGAGACAGACAAATAGAGACTGATGAAGAGACAGACAGACAGATAGTCAGACCTGATGAAAGAGACAGACAGACAGAAGACTGATGAAGAGAACAGACAGACAGACTGACTGATATATATGAGAGAGACTGACTGAGAGAGAGAGAGAGACAAAGAGACAGACAGAGACAGCTAAATATAACAAACATCCAGCAAAGCAGACAGACAGATAATTCAAAATACTCCCAATAAATCAGACAAATCACAAAAAACGTAAGACTCTCTCACTCACTCTCGCGCGACCCAAAACTCAAATCTAGCCTTTTCCCGACAGCGACTCCAAGGCCCAGAAGTTGTTCTCAGCACTGACACAGGCAAGGCTCAAGGGCGAGGAGAACCTGAAAGCTCGCAAGTGGTACTCCAGCACACTCGGAATCAAGCAGAACCTCCAGGACATCTTCCCCATCTTGGTGAACGTCACCACTCGGGAATTCTACGGCAAGAGTGAGTTGCTTCTTAAGGTTGTAATTTATGTTTGTCTGTTCAGCACTGTAAATTCATTTGTTCACACTATTATAAATACAATATATATGACAGTATGACAGACAACAAAAATGATTTCTCATTATGAAGACTTACTTTTTCATGTTACTAAAACTCTTCTGCTATCCCCTTCCCTACACACACGTGGCCAAACAAAATTTCCTCTTTTACCCATGCTCTTAACAAGCCTAACTCTCTACCACCACCCAACAGCACAGATGAACATCGTGGAGGCAGAGGAAATGTGTCCCGAGAAACCAGTGAGACTATGCACGATACAAGCGGACGAGTTGAGCAAATGCACAGACTTGCAAGCTGTTCTCAAGCTGCGTGGCGTCTCTCCTCCATTGCAATGTGTCATGGGCACCACCCTCAATGATTGTCTCAACCTCATTACTCGCAACAAAGCAGATATCATGACACTCACTGACAAGCAGAGATTCAACAAGCAGCAGTATGTAACTTTTTGTATTATGTCTTGCATGATGAATACACTTTTTTCTGTATTTGATTATTTCATTTGAATATATACTGTATTGTTGTCTGTGTTCTGTTGTTAGGTCTAAAGAATATACTGTGTTCTTAGAAGAATATACTTGTGTTTTAACTTCTTAGGTCTGAAAGAATATACTTGTGTTTTAACTTCTTAGGTCTGAAAGAATATACTTGTTTTTTACCTTCTCTTGGGTCTGAAACAAATGGTATGGAGTCATAAAAAGTTTTCTTTGTCATTCTTCTGCAGAGCATACAACCTAGTAAGCCTTTTGTCTGAGAACTACGGCCAAGCCAAAGACAGTCTTTACTATCTGTTGGCAGTTGTTTCAAAGTCATCAGGAATCAACTCAACAAGTGATTTGGCTGGTAAAACGTCATGTCAGAAATCAGGAAGTAAGTGAGAGTAACAGTATGAAGACTTTCCACATTTTCTGTACAGTAATAGGATATAATATTTTCAAGGTCAGTAATCTACTGGCAGTATATTATTTGAAGTCCCACAACAAATGCATTTGGTGGCACTTGACATGTACATAACTGAAATAAGCATTAGAGAATTTTTTTATGAATTGTTTGAAATTAAAAAAATTAATATCTACATTCCAAGACATCTAAGATACTCTAAGACAAAATATAAATGCAAAATTATCATAAACACAAAAATTATTCTCAACACAGATGGCACAACAGCTGATGAAATTGATGCCGAATTGAAGGAATGCCTCAGTGGCTCGAGCAAGTTCTTTGAAAGCTTCAGAGATGCATACGTATGTCTGAGTTTAGGACACAAGGACGTGGCCTTCGTCAAATACCCTGCAACTGAACCTACAGGTAAATGAGATTTTAAGTATCAGAATATGGTTTTTATTTTTAATATTATTTTCTTATCTTTATCATCATTATTATTATCATTATCATTGCTAATGTTTTTATAATCATCATCATTCCAGCCATATTTAATAAATTATCTATTCTCAAAGATATACAGTTGTTTTGCTACCTTTTTCTCTTTTTTTTTCTTCTTCTGCTTTTCCTTCTGATAATTTTGGCCACTGGTGCTGATCAGCTATCTTCACTTTGACCTCTCTTCAGTCTCTGCTTTGCTGACCTTTATCATCAACATACACTCTTCCTCGCAGTCCATCCACTTCCTCTTCTTCGCTTCATCCCCCCTTCCTTTTCCTTGCATCTTCCCCTTTTTATCTTCCTCACATTTTCCCCACTACCTCTTCCTCACATCTTTTCCTCTTTATCTTCCTGACATATTCCCCACTACCTTTTCCTTGCATCTTCCCCTCTTCCTCACAACTTCCCTTCTTTTTCTTTTCCTCTTCCTTGCATCTTTCATTCTTCCTGTCTTCCTCTTCCTCACTTTTTCCTCCTCATCTTCCCCACATCCAGTACCATGACCCTCCTTTCAATGCAATCCACATCTACCAACATGACCATACCAACTATATGTTTTCTTTCCAGACACAGACCAACTTGATATCTTCAACAGCGATGACTATCAGCTACTGTGTCCTAATGGCGTTGCTCCTGTCCATGAAGATCACCTTAAGGAGTGTAATCTTGGACGGATTCCTGCTAATGTGGTGAGTAACAGGTGATGTTATGAGTGATAATTAGAAGGTCAAGTGATTAGGCCATGGGAATTAGGTGTAACAAGCATTGATGAGTCATTCTGCTGAATGAGTGACCAGGAGTATGAAAAGTAATGATGAGCCTCTTAGGTGAGTTACCATGGGTGTGATGAGCGATGATGAGTGATAGGGAGTGACCAGTTGTGTGAAATGATGACTGTACTTGGTGAATTAATCAACCCTTTTACTATTTACTGAACCCTTTCATAATTCACATAATGAAATTTCTTTTCTGCAGATTGTGACACGGCAGACGGAGACAGGTGCTAGCAAAGAGAACATGAGACACCTGATGTTGACTGCTGCTCAAAACTTTGGAAAGTCTGATTCCTTCTTTAGACTATTTTATGAGTATTTCTCATCAAAGGATCTTCTTTTTAAGGTAAGTTTTCAGTAACTGTTATTGGTGTAATTTCTTAATTTATGTATAAGTACATATATATCTTTTTCAAATTAAGATATTTCCTCTCACTTCTGACTCTAAATGGATTTATCATAAAACACTTAAATAAACAATTCTCCATACAGTAATAACTGTTTTAGGAAACAATATTTCATTTCAACCATGACTAAAGGAATTTAACTTTATAAAGTACTAAAGCAGATATCTCTCTACAGGATCAAACCACAGACCTGAGTGTGCTTTCAGATGAGCACTACCAAACTGAGGTTTTGAACATGTTCTCCATGGCTTGCGACCTTTATAGTCACCACATTCGCACAAGCTCCTGGCTCAACACGTAAAAAGACTTACTTTCAAGCAATCCATAATCTTACTTCTCTTCTGGGAACAAAATCTCTTTTCTACTACTTGTTGGGAAGATCATAATTCCTTATCCCTTTTCTTAATCGATGCAAAATTACTTTCCTCAAAATAGTATGTATCCCAAATAAGGTTCAAAAGAAGAGCAGTGGGATTATGGGATGATGCTATAGCAAAGCAGACATATTGCATTTATAACTGCTGAAATTACCCCAAGGCATTCCTTTTTATGGGTTGAATATGTTCACTATCTTGTAGGTACTACTGAAAGATTAAGTAAAAATTATAATTAAGTAATATGAAATCCATGGTAATGATAGCCTGAATCCCCAAGTTGTATTATGATTCTTGTGACATTCCCAAGTTCATTTATTTTACATTAAATTTATAATGCTCAAACTGTGTCCATATAAGAGACAGAGCTGTTCCCAGGTATCAGGCTTTGGCCACCACAGAGTACACTTGTTTTGTTTCCACACAAGAAAACCAGGTGTGCACATTTTGATGGTTTGCCTGTATTTCCTTATGGTTTCATCTCCATATGTGCCCACCAACTATCTTTCAAACAAGTGAAATACGTGATTTGGTAACAATGTTTGCCTGTAAAAGCTCTGACCCTTGTGTAGACACAACTTTACTTATTTTTTGTAAGTTTTACAAATGGTGTAGATATCATTTACCTGTTGGTTAAACAAATATCCTTTTATAATAGACTGAATAGCTCAGAAGATATACAAGGGTTATTGAGAAAATGTGTAACTATTGATTTCATGCTTGCAAACAATCATACATTTGCACAGATACATAAAATAGGTATGTAGTAGTGTCCATTCCACTTCCATTGCATTAATTGCCAGTTTTAAATGTATTCAAAATGCATATCAATAGGGGGGTAACAGATAAATGACTCAAAACTGGTGGTTCACATACTGGTACATGTGCAGAGTAAAAGGAAGTGGAGGTGACATACTAAACAATACATAAACAAAAATGTGCTTAATACCTGCAAGAAAAATATATGAGCTGCATAGTCATTAGGATATTTACTATTATGTGCTTCATTGAGACTACTATGTTTTCCATTAATTACTGTTGAATGATGTTCATTCTCTACATAAACATAGGTTAGAGGCAATATGTTTAATGTACATTGATATACATTAACTAAGAAGAATTATACATTATAGATGTTTGAATATATATTTGTCTGTCCTGAACCTATACAAACCAAATGAATTAAGCTAATGCTCAAGCAGTTAAGAAAAATAGGCAACTTTTACGAGAAAATATTTTTTACATTTGTTGCGTACAACTCTGCCTGATTTTACTCTCAGCATCCATGTATTTCCTGTAATCCATAAATTTAGTTTTAATTAAGCATGTACAACATACAATATTGAAAGACAAATGTAGCTCACCTGCATAATAGCAGTAACATGGATAATAATAAAACCATAAGATATGAAGAATTATAAACTCTTTTATTTCATTACCTTGTATTAAATCTAAACATATACACATGGATACTCTTTTTCCCAGGTAAGGACACTTCATACCAGTACAGAATAGTAATTAGGAACACAAATAACTTCAATGCTACTATTAGCACTGATATGCAATTATAATCACCCAAATAGCATTTCCAAATTGCAAAAACTGAAAGCTGAGAGTTTTTTCCCTTGTCTAATATACTTCATAGAACAATATTTCAACTGTTCCAAACAAACTAATATAAAAAATACAATATAATTTGCTTCTCCAGCTCCCCAAAAAGCAGAACATTTTCTATGAAGAAACTATGAATCAAAAGTGAAGTATATATATATTTTTCCTTGTTTTCACAGAAATCCAATGAAAACCATCATCACATACTTTAAAATATACTAAATATATTAAGTATAAAACCCTCCACTGCCTACCAAACTTCACTAAAAACAACCTGGGCGGAATTTGAGAAAATTTATTTCACTGGGGAAAAAATCTGATCATAAAGGTTATATATGAACAAGTACTCCCAATTTCAGCAGCAGTGGGTAATAATGTTCACATTATCAAAGAGACAAAACATTCAAATCTTAATCTCTGAAAATAATATACTTCACATAATATACTGTTTCTCACAACATTTGACAAACCTGCAATGTCATAGTCTATCATTTAACTTTATCATCAGTGACTGGAATATAATCACAGCTTTACCAAATTTAAGTAATCTAAATTCATAAAAATATTCACACATCCATGTGCAAACTTTGCAAACTACAGAAGTAATATTTCAAAAACCAATGTATAATGGCACGTTTTCTGGCATGGACAAACAATGTAGTGATACACATTTCTGCAACATCACTTGTTACTTTCAACCTATTTCTCTGACTGAATAAACAATAGCTGCCTAAGGATAAAGCATCATAGCACTCATAAGGAAAAAATCACAGAATATATGTATACACAATATTCTTTGCAATTAAATAGAATCGATTACATCAACTGAACAGAACAGAATGATGCAATGGCACAGAAAATGGAGCAAACATATCGCAATAAAAAATCATAACAGACACTCTGAGAAAGTCTACTGTAGGATAATGTACGCTGAAATTACATCTAGGACCTCACCGATACCCTGATTGCGTAAATTTACAAGCAATTCAAACATTTCATCTATTATGTTTCAAGTTATATGGTTCTTGAAGTTTATTCACCAAGAAATCAATTACTGAGCTTACTAGACTTCACCTATTTACCCTATTTCTTGAATATCCCCGAAGAAAAGTTTTTTCTTTTCAATTTCATTACCTTTAATACTGCCAATCCATTATAATGAAAATAAATACAATAATCATGACATTCATATAATCAAAAAAAGTAAATGAAATCATCATCATTATCAATATTGTTATCTTTATCATCATCATAATCATGTTTTATTTCTGTTTCTCCACTTATGTGTATGATGATATAATAATAACACAGTTAGTATATCAATAATGGTAACAATAACAATAACAATAACAATAATAATAATAATAATAATAATAATAATAATAATAATAATAATAATAATAATAATAATAATAATAATAATAATAACTACAAAAACAATAATAATAATAATAATGATAATATCAACAACAATAACAATAATAATAATAGAACATTAATAATAATAACAATAATGATGATAATGATGATAATCATAATCATAATCATAATCATAATCATAATAATAATAATAATAATACAAAAAAGCAATGATTATAGTCATAAAAATAATGATACAAAGATAACAGCAAGAATAACGCAATCTATCTACATACGGATACAACGAGAAAATACATACCTTTTATACTAAGAAATGATACTGCATTTTCACATGTAATTTTGATTTTTTGCTGTTCTTTCCCGAAAACGAACAATAATTCATCCATAAGATACCATTGCACTTTCTGATGCACATGACCTTAGTGTTGTATATTGCAGCTTTGGTTTTATTATATAAAATATACATAATATTGCAACCAAAAGCAACCTGTGGTTTGTAGAGGTAAAGGATATCAACCGTATCACAATCAATGTTTTCATTAAACTTAAGTATGGAAGAGTAATAATGGGACCATCTTTGCACATCATCTATAAATGTAAGTAGTAAATATCACATCATGTATCATCACAAAGCAAGAGACAGGGTAAAAGAAAAAAAAATGCTTCACCTAGAATGTAGTGTGCTATGGACCATTTCTTATTATAAAGCAATACCTTCTTCACTGTATTTCAGCAAAATGTGACAATATATCCCATGATTTCTCACTCTGGCTTTATTTTGGGATTTGGGTTAACGGCTAAGGCTTCAGCAGCCGCTTCAATGCATTCATTGGAGCAGAAAACCCAGTTCTTGGACATTTTGAAACGTTTGCCCATCAGCGGTATCTTACAGGAGTAGCATTTGAAACACTGGGGACTGGCATGGTAAAAATAGCCTCGATGTCCACAGCGATTCATCTCGGGGGATATCTTTTCTTCGCAGGCCTCACACATCTGGAAATGTGCAAGTTCATCAAGTCTACAACCTAAATTCAGTAATCCCCTTGACATTCAATCTCTGCCAACAGTTCCCCACTCCCTTCAAGAAATAGAGAAAAATAGGAAGGGAATATATTGGATTATCGGAAATATCAATGACCCAATAAGTTCTTAAAAATTCACCAATGAGTACCACAGTGTATCAAAGAACATCAGTTGATGGTTATTTACAATAAAGTGTTTTCAGTCACCTATAAAAACCTAAAGAATAAGAAAATACCAGAGAAAATGTATACAGCCATAACTTGATGGTATGGTGCACCGAAACAAGCCTGACACCAATTGTAGAAAACACAAGATAACAGCTCTCACTGCCCCCATCATTCAGTCCAGGGATGTTGAATTTTCATACAATCTCAGATGAGAATGAATGATTATGTAGTAAAAGTTTATGACAGTGTGATCAAAATGTTAGCTTTGGCACAACTCGCTATATTAAGGGGTATTGTCTTTTACATACAGTCTCACTGTGATTTCCTGGATATCTCTGTACCTTAACCATTAGAGGTTAAGAGTACATAATCTAGGTCAGTGGAATCAATATAATTATCTGGATTCATATTTAGCAGATGGAATATAAATAAAGAATAATAGCATCTAAACAACTAAATTTTGAATTTAGGGACAGTGCAGTGCCAGAAAATTGTATTTCCAATCAAACTGACTGAGTATGCTCTTATCAAAAAGCTTTTTCCCAAGTCTTTTACTAACTTAGAATGAGTTCAAAATAACCCAAAAGAAACAAAATTGCTTTCATTCCTACCTTGGCTAAGCATGCCATGTAGCAGGGAAGACAATACGGATATCCTTCTTTGTCTGGTACATAGCGCTGTCCAGCCAATTCCAAATCACACATATAACAGCTGTAGTGGTGGATATGCCAGTCAAATCCATCAGCCCTTGTCCATGAGTTGCCAAATATCAGCTGGTGATGAAAAAGAATGCTATGCATCATACATTTGTTAATTAACAGAAGATGTTTTTGCAAATAAAAATACTCTAACATAAAGTGTGTTAATTTCACAAATCAATCAACACACACTTAAAAACTTTTACTTTACAATAAAAAAAATACACATGTTCATGATCACCAACACAAATTCCATCTTCGGTAATATTCATTCTTGTCTACTAATCTTAGGTAAAGACTCATAATACAGGGAGTGCACTGGAATAGAAACATCACACTTAAAGAAATGAAGTACTGTTTGGTATTAGCTCTTTTCAGATGAAATGTTTTGACAATCAATCATACTAAAATGAAGCAAATGCATAATATAAGACAAAAATATTCATACCAAACCTAATGATTCTACTGTCGTCATTAACATGAACTAGGGTAATTGGTGAATGAAAAATAAATGAATCACTCATATAAAAGTCAGTGACATAAATAGTTACAGTCAGCAGTGACCAATTATTTTCCAATAAGATTAACAATAGCAAACTTCAGTGTACTTTTCCATCACTGCAGACATTCCTGAAATCATTTATACTTGTATGAAATATTACAAAGATGCCTACTTTCAAGATTCCGAAGTTCAGTTAAAGTTTAATTGACTTTTGACAAACCTTACCCCAATGAGATTTATATATATGATGAATTAAAAAAAGTTACTTACGATTATAAGACAATGAAAATTAAATTGCTCATAATGCAAGGAGAAACATTACGGGCATTATTGCAATTTCACACGATCTAATTAATGATTATCAAATAAATTAGTTTCTTCAAGCAAGCAAGAATATTATTACAAGGAATTAAATTCACAAAGTTACCTCTTCAAATATCAAACCTTTAAGTGTAAATAAGTTCTTTTAAGTGATAATACATGGGAGGAAAGTAGGGTAGAAGGTCATTTATAAATATAAGTAGACTACAAAAATTACAAGGAAAATCCCAAATTAACATATTAACTGTATTTTCCTGAAGTAGTCTAACACAAACTGTATATACTTAACCCAGAGTCTCTGGGAAAATGTTATGTTCACTGTAGTATTGTTTTGTGAATATGTCTCTGTACAAAGATTGCTCTGGAACTGCTTATCCACAAAGGAGTCAATCAGTTGACCTTGTATCCTCATCACCTGATCTCACCTTTCCTTGAGTTTGTGGAAATGTTTTTTTTTTACTAATGCTATCAATATCATTGCTGTTATTTTAATCATAGACATTATAATCATAATAGTGTTATTAACATTACTAACAGCAATATTGAATACCAGAAAATATTTTCAAAAATCAAGAAAAAGGGTAAACAGGTGAGACAGGTAATACTTGTAATTGGCTCACTGTTTACGTAGTACTTGTGGAGCATCTACATGTAAAAAAAATTAATAAATCAACTCACAGTGGGCATGGCACATACATACATACCATCCCCATGACCTTCGGATTAATACATTACCTGGTGTTTGAAAATTAAACTTATTTTTGGATTTTTACAGTTGGTAAGTTCTTGGCCTTCATTTCAATACCTGCAAAGTCAAAAGCATCAAGAGAAAGAGAAGGAAGAAAAATTAAACCAAAGATGTCAGTCATACCTCATCGCATGCTTTACATCTTGGTATTTCTGCAGCATCTGTGAAATGACGTCCACAGAACACGTTTCCATCCTTGTAGAAGTAGATC